AAATTTTATAAGATTTTAAAACGAACGGTATCGCAACGTAACTCTAAATTACCTGGGGCTGGCGAGCTGGCGAGGTCCATGATCGTATCGCCAGGCCGTTGCCACAACAAAAAGTAAAATAGAAAAAGAGCTAAAGATTCTAAAGAAACATGATGCAGTCATCTTATTGTCAAATAATTTAAACTCGGGGAGTCTCCGAAAAATAAAGAGCAAAAGCGAAAGTAGCTGAACATCGTACTTTCCCTCAGATTGGGCTCAACTCGGGGTGGCTGCATGCTGCAGCAGCGGACTGGTGCCAAGTCCCACTTCCGTGTTCACCCAAATAGAACGCCCTCCTCATTATCCCAGTATCTAGATTCTAGATGGAAAGTTGCCCCAAATACAGCTATAATGACCGGGCCACAGGTGTTCTATTTGGGTGAAAAACGGTAGCAGGGGTTTGAGACTTAGTCTTTTCGAGTACACATTGTTCTCTGGAATCTTGTGGCATTTGATCTGAACATCTCGCGGTGACAATGTGTGGACACATTGAAAAATTATCGAAAGGAAGAATGAACCCCAGAGTCCCCAGGCTTAGACCCTGATACCTAAAGTATTTGAAGAACTTGACTCGTCTCTTCCACAAAGAAAACAAGAAAAAAAAAGGAGTCCTCTCTTCCACAGTTTCTGATCTTCAGGGTATATATCTTTTTTTTTTTTTTTTTTTTTTTTTTTTTTTTTTTTTTTTGGTGTGATGCAGCCGTATATCTATCACAGTCCCCGGTAACTAAGAGACTGTGGGGGGAAGGGAAACGGGAGTCTGAAAAAAAAAAAAAAAAAGGAAACGAGAGCCTGTGACTCTCTGTGTGCGAAAAAGGAAAGAAAAAAGGAGCCTGGCCAATGGTGCCACGCACAATAGGGGCCCGCTAATTTTTTGTAAGGGATACCGGGCACGATTCCCGGCTTGTAATATAATACTCTTTCCTGTCTAATTATTTTGGCTACTCTCTAAAGGAGGAGGTCTCCATGTGTATCAATTACAACGGAAAAAAAAAGTAAAAAAAATCTATCACCTGTCTCTCCACTGACCCGAACCAGACCAGAGTGCCTGAACCCACCAGTCTCTCCGCTGACCGGAACCGGACCAGAGTGCCTGCCCTGCCGTCGGTGGCACCCGAAAAGAATGCCGGGTCATTACCACTGTATCTAGACTGGAAGTTCCCCCCAATACCACTGTATCTGGACTGGAAGTTCCGCCCAACACTCATCTAACTTAGGGTATATCTGTATTCAGTTTCGACGTATGTGGACGAATAACGAAAAAAATTGGCAAAAACACCGGACTCGGAGAAAGATTCGGCGAACTCCGAAAGCTACTCCGAATAGGGATTTATAGCGCTCTTGAGGTTTTTGGTTTCGTTTTGTTTTTGCCTGCTTGTTTTTGTTTTTATGTTTGTATTATGACCCTGCATAGCTTGTTTGCAAAAGTTTTGACAACATTGCTTTTTGTCGAGATGTGGCAAAATTTTGGGCCTTCCATTAACCGCTAGTGGCAGAAGTTTGCGGACCTCTTAACCATGGTTCCACTGGCCTGTGCGAAGTCCCTATTCACGGTGTTCACTGCCCCTAACCCTTCCCTGCCCCCTCACGTAGAGCACACACCACGATGCCGCCGATTATAGTCGTCAAGCCTAGTGCTCACTATGGCCATTGCGCCAATGGCATGGATTTGTTCCGATTATAACTGTCTAGGGAGACTTAATAATGAGTTGCCTCGTATCATGGGGTACCACAATCAAATCGCAAATCGCAAGCAAGCAACAGGCGGGACGAATGACCACCGTTGCGGGATCCCAAGGCACGCTCCAAAACCGGGAAGTGCTTGTTTCTACTTCACAAAGTGACACGAGCCCTGCGGGCCTAGCTCAGTTGGTAGGGCACAGAAGTTGCATTTAGGAGGTCGTGGGTTTAATCCCCATTGGACTCACGTACGTGTCTGGGCAAGCTTGGTGTTCTACAAGTTAGAGATACCCCGTTGGCCCCGCAAGCGAGCTTTGGAAGGACCTTGGCTGATGTTGTTGGTTGCTATGCAGCGACAATATTGGCCATTAGACACCGCCACGTGGGGTTGGGGGGGGGGTAGGGGGAGGTGCAGTCACTGGCCATTGCTCGACGTTAGCACCGCCGATTTCCCCCATCGGCAATGCCTTCCCACCCCTCATCACCGTGATGAGGGACTGGTACAGCCATGCTCTTTCACCACTGCTGTGGTGCCAACCTACCCCGTGGGCTAGGGAGAGATCCGGGTTGGTTGGTGTTCTCCTGTACTATACATAGACTAGCGAGAGGATGAGATAGATGCGTACTGGCAAGAAGATGAGATAGTTTGCCTTACGGAAGTGGATTGATGTGGACTCGTTTGTTGTCCTCTTGTCCCTCTCTGCCTACGGTTTACTGGGCAGCATTGTTTGACTCTATATATATAGAATCTGCGCTAGCGCTAGCGCCCTAACGCCTGCCGACCGGCGAGGCCCGACCGCACCCGGCTTGACCAGCGTGCTGGAGAGGTAAGCCCCCTCGAGGCCGCTGGGCCTGTGCACGCGCCCGCCACGTGGCCGTGGCTTTCAGCTTGCCACGTGCCACCTATCTTTTGGTGGCGTGGACGCCCCACGACGCGTGAACAGGGAAAGCGTCAGCCGTGATTGATTGGAGGTTACTGCACACTAGTGGCGCAGTTCTTTGAGCGAGCCATGGCTACCAGGAGGAGATTTTGGAGAGGGAGCTACATCTTGGAGCGAACGAATGGCTGATTACCTTGGAGAGCGGACGCAGATGGCTACAGGAGATTGTGAGGGACATGTCTTTGCGGCTGCAAGTGGAGCCAGAGGTCGGAGGGGGTGCATTTTCTCTGGCTGGTTGGCTGAAGGATAACGGTGAGGACATGCTGGAGATCATCTGGGAGCTGGAGGAGGGGCCGGATCCTCGGCTTGACGTCTGCATCGATTGGAGGAGGGCAGATGGCATCATGTCTGTCTGCAAAACCCTCTTCAATGAGGGTCGCGATCTGTGTGCTCTTCTGGAAGACCGGTTGGAGGGCGATATTGATGGTGAGGAGGCGCACGTGGCAACAGAGGTAACAGTGTTGACATCAAGACCAACAACAACAACAACAACAACAACAACAACAACAACAAGGACAACAACATCGACACCGGGTGATATTGGAGGCCGCGAAGACAACGAGGGTCTTGATGCCAATACCGATCATATCAACGACATCATCTATCGCGGCAGCTGCAGTGTTGGAGGCGGCTAACAACAACAACAACAGCATCAACAACAACAACAACAACAACAACAACAACAACAACAACAATAAGGACAATAACAACGACAACAACATCGGCGACAATAACAACAACAACGGCTTCTGCATGGTGTCTCTCCCTGTTGATCTGCGTTTCTTCGCTTCACAGCGGGTGGGAGTGGGATAAACGACGACCCTCCACTGATTGGGATTGCCCGGCCTTCAATCCCCAATCATGATGATGTGTAGGGGTAGGTTGTTAAGGGTATCGTGCATTGGTGCGTTTTGGCTGTTGGGGTGCTTGATGGAGATGGTCTTGCTTAGGGTTTTGGTCATGTACCCAGGAGGTCAATCCTTCCCTTCTCCGGGGAAGTAATCAATGCCTTCTGCTCTATGGGGAGATAAACAAACTTAACGAACACCCTCACATATCGTCGGATGCGTAGTATGGCATCCTTTCACATCATTGTACAAGGGACGCTGGACCCGATTTCCAGCAGGTGTGAAAAATAAAATAAAATAAAAAAAATTGACTCTATATATATATGTGTGTGTGTGTGTGTGTGTATATGTGGATGTCGAGAGTAGCGGAGCGACTCCTAGAAGGGCCTTTTTAAATTCTTTTCGGCGGTTTCTTTCTAGCAGGGCCGAGGTCCCACTAGCAACGGGGATCGGATCGAATGCCTGAATCTGGATGTGTTTTACGCAGAGATGCAGAAAAGCAGTTCACTCTCGATTTCCTGCACCTCTCAACAAACACGTCCAGATTCAGGCATTCAATCCCATCCTCTTTGCTGGTGGGACCACGCCCCACGTGGACAGCCCTTCAAAGGAACCTCTTGCCAATCGAACTACTTTTCCCGAAGTTGCCGCCCGCCTGTGGAATCTCGCCATCAGTCAGTGCATATGTACACGTACACTGGGATAGGGTTTCCTAGGATGTACGAGACCGCAGAGGCAGCCAGATTCAGTTGAGAGGAGAACGAAAGCCCTTCGTTCTCTACATGCCCTTGGGAGACCAAAGAACGTCAGGGTGTGCCTCCCGTCCGGTGCCCTCCCCCTATGTTCCCTCGTTGGAGGCTTGAGCACGGATGTGGCTGCTACGGGGCTCCCCGAAATACTATAATGACAGTAAAAAGGGCCTGAAAGGCCGTACTATCCGGGGCAAGGTCCCAGTTGCACTGACTAAGAGATTCTGGCCGTTGATCTTTGCTATCTACGATCAATATCGGTTAATTCGTGTATGTGGGACCTAACCCCCGGATTCGACGGGTAATTTCTGGCGGAGATCCCGGCGGGAATTCTGGAGGCGATTTCGTGGGGAAATTTCTGGCGCGGTAAGTGAACAGGTAGAGAGAGAGAGAGAGAGAGAGAGAGAGAGAGAGAGAGGAGAGGGAATGCGGGAGGGGAGAAGGCTTTTGACTGTACAGTACCAGATCACAAGGAGGCAATAGCAATGCGAAGAAGATTGTGCAGGCAGGAGGAGGGTCATCAAGTCGAAGAAGGGTAATCAGGGCCTGGCGGGCAGCAGAAAGAGGAGAGACAGCAGGTGCGGTGAGGAGAGAGTAGGAGAGAGTAGGAGAGGAGAGAGTAGGAGAGGAAAGATTAGGAGAGTAGGAGAGGAGAGAGTCGGAGAGAGTAGGAGAGGGAGGTGTAAGGTTTTGCCAGGGAAGGTAACGAGACACAAGCGAAGCTTTCCAGTTCGCGGGAACATTTCCGTTTTTCTCGAGGGGATTCGAACACGCGTCGAGTGTCGGCAACCCCGAGAGCAGAATGCTACGTCGGAGACCGACGCGTCTTGAGCTCAAGCCTGAAGACAAGGAGGAATACGAAGAAGCGAAGCGCGCAGCTGCACTGGCCGCCGCTGCCGCTGCCGCGGCCGCGGCCGGGCCTTCCGCGGGGCAATCGGCGGGGCAGGGCGGGAAAATGGACGGTGGAGGCGTGTCGGCATTTTTCGACGGTAACAAATTGCCCGCGGTGAAGCTGACCACCGCTCAGAGGATCGGTTACATCGGAGGGTCATCGTCATCGGCCAAAGGCTCAACGCAGCAATAGCTGCTTTCTACTGATACGATCATCAAGCAACAAGCAATAGCAGAACGACGTGCAGCTACCGGTAGGTAAGCCCTTGCCTGTGCTGACTGTAAATCAAAACATACTTACAAATCAAATCGCAGTGCATTTTTTTATTTATACACATTGCAATGTTATATTACTATTAAGACAGGTGTAAATATATAATATGATAATATAATAGTAATAATCTATTGACACCTTCCAACGTCCGGACAGATTTGTCCAATCTCTCCGCATTGCACCAGCTAACAGATGTTGCAGTAATACTTACCCCTCCTGATGAGGCTAGAACAGGCTCTAGCCGAAACCGGTCGAGGGAAGCCAGACAGCCATCACCAGGGTTAGCCTGGCTATGGCTTCCTCTTGAGCTTTGTTGCAGATCTTTCGAAGAGATACTCTTGGTGTTGCAGAAGAGTAACTTCTGAGTAATTTCCGAGTTTTCACATATTCTGGCGGGTTGTATTTTTCAGCAACTTGCTTATGTGTCGCGTGCCGCTGATCTCAGTCGACGCTGTGATTAGCCTTCGCTCTTTCCAATCCAACCTAACAGATGTTGGCCGTAGATAACGGAGATCGACGGCTCGTTTATTTTTTTTCAATCTGTGCAAGTGGGACCCCGCCACGGATCGTAACGATATGTTATATGTATATATGTAGATGCATATGTATATATGTATATATGTACATATGCGTATATGTGTATATACAACAAAGCCCGCTCTCTATGGATATGTAGAGCTCTGCGAAGATATATAGATAGATATGTATGTGGGAATCGTCATCCGGGATTGTCTTGTCTTTTTTTCTTGGTTGTCACACTGTGGATCGTCGCTTTTTTATGTCTTGTCCTGGGTGGTCTTGTCCCGTTGTTTGGCCTTTGACGGAGCAGGCGGTGCTTGCATGTGGGACTTGTCATCTGGGATCTGTCTTGTTTCCCTCTGTTCTATTTGTTTCATTTGGCTGTTCCCTTCCTCTCTTCTTTG